GTTTAAAGAAGTGTCCTTGTCTTGGTTTGAGGAATTATCATCTGGTATTTGTACATCAGAAGAGTTGAGGTGTTCAATTCTTGTCGAATCTGAACTAAGATTTTCCTGGCTCTCTTCTGGAATCAAGTCAGAAATGCCTTGATTGGTCTCTTGAGTAGGAACATCTTTCAAATGTTTAGCATTTCTATGAATTATTTTCCCATTTTTAGTGTTGACTAATTTAAAAGAATTTATTGAAGTGTTTTCAAGAATGACATGATGTTCTGATCTGAAATTTGAATCAAGTTTTCCATTATTTGGATTTGCCACATAAACTAAATTTCCAATTTCAAAATTATGAGGACTAGCTTTCCGAATTATATCATTATATGTTTTCATTTTTTCTTTGTAGACCATATTGAATTCTTTGATGTTGGATTCATCTTCTTCTGCATCATTAACAAGTGAGCTTAATTTAGTTTTGATTTCTCTTGAAAATAATAGGAATGCTGGAGTCTTTCCTGTAGATCTGTTTGGAGTAGTTCGGTAAGACATTAAAATTCTGGATAAATCTTCTTTCCAATCTTTCCCTTCTTCAGAACTTGAATTAAATTGTTTCTTTAGAAATCTATGGAATCTTTCTATCTTCCCATTACTTTTTGGGTAATAGGGTGAGGCTTTGATGTGCCTGATTCCACATTCTTTTAAAAATCTTTCCATTGATGTACTTACAAACTGTAGGCCATTATATGTTACAACTTCATGTGGATAACCATGTCTTGCAAAAATCTCCATTAATTTTTCAATTATTGTCTTGTTGGAAATGTCTTCTATTATCATTGCTTCAGGATATGAAGAAGAGTAGTCGATCACTGTTAAAACATAATGATGGCCAATTGGACCAACTATGTCAATTCCAAGTTTCATCCAAGGTTTTGATGGTAACGGAACTATTTGCAATGGTTGATCATTTATCAATGGTTGATTCCTTACACAAATTGGACAGTTTCTAATCAAATTTTCAATGTCAAAGTCCATGTTTATCCAAAAATATTTTTCTCTTAACAGTTGTTTGGTTCTTGTCATTCCTTGATGTGTTTCATGTGCAATTCTCAAGACTCTCTTTATTAGTTTTGAAGGTAGCAAAATTCTACTTCCTTTTAAGATAAGATTATCAAAAATTGAGAGTTCATCTTTAAACTTATAAAAACATTTGAATTATTCATTCAAAGGATATGGCCAAACTCCCTTTTGAACCATATCTTTCAGTTTTTGAAACAAAGGATCTTGCTCTGTACAAACTTTTATCTCTTTCAAAGACAGTGCTTGAAGCTCTTCAGAAGTGATGGATAAGACTTTATGAACATAGTCCTCCAGCCAATTTTCATCACTTGTGTTAGAAAGAGGTTGTCTTGAAAATATATCTGCAATATTTTGCTTTCCTTGAATGAATTCAATTTCAAAGTCATATGGTTGTAATCTCCAACTCAATCTTTGAATTCTTGGAGGCAAAACAGCTCCATTTTTAGGATTCAGCATATAGATTAGAGGTTTGTGATCTGTTTTTAACACAAATTTCCTTCCCCAAATATAGGTGTTAAAATGTTCAATTGCCCATACACATCCCAATGTCTCTTTTTCTATTTGTGAATATATTTTTTCAGTATCAGTTAAGGATCTGCTGGCATATGCAATGGGTCTTTTAATGCCATTTTGTTGTGTTTGTATTAATACTGCTCCAAGACCAATAGGGCTTGCATCTGTGATTAATTCAGTTGGTAAGTTCAAGTTGTAATATGCCAAGCATGGCTCTTTTGTTAGTGACTCTTTAAGATCCTGAAAGGCTTTATTTGTTTTCAAATCCCAATTCCACCTAACATTTTTTCTAGTCAAATTATTCAGAGGTTCTGCCAATTTAGAAAAATTAGGTATGAATTTTCTTAAAAACCCACAAGTTCCTAAGAATGACCTTAACATCTCAATATTTTTTGGTATTGGAAAATTTAAGACTGCTTCTATTTTCCTATTATCAGGTTTAATACCTTCACTACTAACAATGTGACCTAAAATATCCAATTCTTCCATGGCAAATTTGCACTTATTCCTGTTGAGCCTAATGCCTACTTTATCAAATCTTTGTAAGACTTTTCTAAGCCTTTCTTCTAGTTCTTGTCTATCTTTGGCGTAAACAACGACATCGTCCAAGTAACAAATTACACCTTTCAAATCAAGCAAAATTGAATCCATTCCTTTCTGATATGCCTCTGGAGCACTTGATAGACCAAAAGGAACTTTACAAAATCTGTAACAACCACGGTGCGTGATGAAAGTTGTAAGGGGTCTTGATTGAGGGTCTAAGTCAACCTGCCAAAACCCTTTTTTTGCATCCAGCTTTGCAAATACTTTAGCACCTTTGAGGGCATGTAACATATTGTCAATTGTAGGAATTGGATGTCTTTCTCTCAATATTGCTTTATTCACTTCCCGAAGGTCTATGCATAGTCTAATTTCCTCACTATCCCTTTTTGGAACAACTATTATGTTAGAAACCCATTCAGAACCTTGATGCACTTCTTCAATGATTCCATTCTCTAGCGTCTTATCAAGCTCTTGATTTACTGCTTCTACCATTGCATAAGGTATACGACGGCATCTCTGGGCAATGGGCCTATAGTTGTCTTTCAATGTCACTTTATGACTATAGCCTTTTATAGTTCCAAGTCCATGGAAAAGATGTTCATGTTTTTGAACAAGAGTTTCTATATCAGTAGACATTGATTCATTTACATGATTTACCCTTTTAATTATACCTAGTTCAAAACTAGCCTTGCCTCCCAACAAAGATTCAACTATTTTATCAATCACATAAATTTCTTCTGAAATTGAATTTCCTTTCCAAGAAATCACAGCATTGAAATAAACATAACATAGAAGAGGTCTATCTTGACCATAGGCAAAAAAGGTTCGGGTGGTGTCATGTAATTTTGGCATAATTTTATGGCCATATAATTCAAGCATCTTATTATAGCTTAGGAAAGTTCTATCACTCCCTGTATCAATTATCATATTTATTTCACTACCATCTATTTGCACTTTTTCTTTATTTTCAGCACCTGTATAGTAGGTATATTCATCTGAACTTTCACCTACTTCAGTCTTATTTTCTTCTTGTATGGTCTTAACTTTAGTTTGATTGAAACTTTTGTGGTTTCTATTATTATTTTGATTTGGACGGTTCCTGCAAGCTCTAAAAAGATGTCCTAATTTATTGCAATATGAACAAGTGATTTTTTTAGCACCACATTCTTGTGCTGAATGTGTATCTAATCCACAGCGATAACATTTAGGCTTTGAGGCACCTGAAAATGATGGGGTACCTTGATTAGTGAATTTACCTTTGTTGAAATTATTAGCATTATAGTGCTTTTTAGGTTTATTTTGAACTCTATTTAGTGTTTGATCATTTTGAGGTTCAAGAAGTCGAATTTCTTTTCTAGAAATTTCTAACATTCTAGCAATATCAATGGTTTTTGACAGTGTCAAATTTTCTTGTTGCAACAATTTTTCTTTAAGTTTTCTGTTGTTACATTTTTCAATTATTTGGTCTCTAATCATATCAGCTTCTAAATTCCCAAATTCACAAGATTTAGAAAGCTCTCTTAAAGAAATTAGGTAGTTGTCGATCGATTCATCATCTTTCTGAACTCTTTGTCTAAACTTAAATCTCTCAGTGACCACATTTTTATGAGGTGTGAAATATTTATCTAAAGCCATTTTAGTTTGTTCATAATTTTCCTTTTCATCTGGCAAGTTGAAAAATATACGCTGTACATTTGGCCCTAAACAATGCAATAGAGTTGCTCTCTTAATTTCATCCGATTTTTTTGAAATTCCAGATGCTATTTCAAAAATGGCATAGGATTCCATCCATTGCTTATATTCCGCAAATAAATTGCTTGCATTCATATTCATGGGTAAAGGTGGCGTCAGGTTGGCTGCCATACTTGTTTTTTTTTTTTAGGGCTACAGTTATATTTTCAAATTCTCGTCGCCAATTTATGTTGTATAGTTATTGTTGTATAGTTATTATTTAATTAAACATTACTCACCAGATGAAATTATATTACAAATTATTTATTACACTTTAAATTTATATTTTTACATCAACACGTTGTTTACATTATACATCGTATATTATTGTTTATGATGATGATCTATTATATATTTAAAACACAGAATACTACAACACACACACACACACAACATACATTAAACATTTTACATGTTATTTGATATCACCAATTAAAACAACTTGGTTAAGTCTGATCAAGACTTTATAACGCAAAAGAGAATTCATTCTCTACATATCACCATTTTGGACAAACGAAAAGATCATTTCACATATTCCCAGCTTCAAAGAGTCGTAAAAACACCAAATGTTTACTAAAGGGATATGATCTAGTTACACACCACAATTGTAACTTCTCTTCAATAGAAATAATTTTTGTTCAATTTTCCACTACCCAAAATTTATCCAATCATTAATACCCTTTAATTATATTCTAATTTTTGTTTAAAATCTGGAATAATTATTTTTATTTTTAACCTTTCAATTATATAATCAAATTTTTAATCCAAAATGATTTTCAAAAAAAAAAAAACTTTAATCAGATTTACTTTTTTAATATAATGTGGCTTGTGATTGTAAAACGACATTTGAAATACTATCCCGCATGTGTTTCTTCTCAACGAAAAATCAAAATTTATTTTAAGAAGAAATAACGATTATTTCTAACCTTTTGGATGAGGTAGGAAAGGGTGAATTGTGAAGAGTAATGATAAACGGAAAATTAAAAGTGTCCAAGGATGGGAATCGAACCCACATTGTTCTGCTTACCGGGCAGATGCCATGTCCACTAGGCTACCCTGGACATATTTTTCCGTTCGTAAATAATACATAAAGTAATTTATAATACAATATAATATGATATTGCATAATATTATTTACGAACGGAAATATGCCCAGGGTAGCCTAGTGTACATGGCATCTGCCCGGTAAGCGGAACAATATGGGTTCGATTCCCATCCCTGGTCAATTTTATTTTTCCGTTTATCATTACAATTCACAATTCACCCTTTCATACCTCATCCAAAAGGTTAGAAATAATCGTTATTTCTCCTTGAAATAAATTTTGATTTTTCGTTGAAAAGAAACACATGCGGGATAATATTCAAATGTCGTTTTACAATCACAAGCCGCATTATATTATATTGTATTATAAATTACTTCATGTATTATTTACGAACGCAAAAATATGTCCAGGGTAGCCTAGTGGAAATGGCATCTGCCCGGTAAGCAGAACAATGTGGGTTCGATTCCCATCCCTGAACACTTTTATTTTTCCGTTTATCATTACTCTTCACAATTCACCCTTTCATACCTCATACAAAAGGTTTGAAATAATCATTATTTTTCCTTGAAATAAATTTTGATTTTTCGTTGAAAAGAAACACATGCGGGATAGTATTTCAAATGTCGTTTTACGAATTTACTTTTATTTTTCATATTATTTTAGTATTTTAAAACATTTATTTGTTTTAAAAAATCATTTTCAATTCATTATTATATATTTTTATATATTACATGTTTGATTTTGTCCACTTACACTTTTTTATCCGCAATCATATTTCTATCTTTTTATTCACTATATTTTATATTTGTTTATATAGCTTATTATATGACAATGTTTATCATCGACTATCGGGCATCTACAACAATCATATTCTCTAACCACTTCCCTATACTTTTCATCACTATGTATTTCAGCCATTGCTTCACATCAACGTAGAAAAACGACAGTACTGCTTGACATTTTTTTTATTTCATAATTTCAACAAACTCTTTGAACACAGTTCCCCAGATTTAAAAATCCCAACTTCTGGTCTGAACATGCTTCAAGAGTTCATTTCAATTATCCGCAGAGCACAATCACCAACGCATGCACAAAGCGTTCACAAGTATCAACTTTCAACTTTTTTCAGCTCTAGTGGACCACAATCAACCTTTGATTTCAAGTCAAGTCAGATCACCTACTTTCGCGACAATTCTACTTATCGCATGGCTCTACCACCCCTTTCAATCATATTAATTCTTTTCTTCAACATATTTTAACCCAATACAATATCCTGCAATTGTGACAACGCACTGTAACCCTTATATAGGATAGCAAGTGAAACATTGCCTAGGAAGACGCTCTAGTCTATTTCCTCGCTTTGTACCTGGATCTAAGTATTTGGTTTACATGTGCACTCCTAACAATTGCATATTCTTTAACCCCTAACCCTTTCCAACGCCCGCCAATAATATCTTAGAATTTTTAATTCTCTTTCACACAATCATATTATCATGTATTTAATTTAAAAAACGGTTTTATCTAAAAAAATATCCTTTTATATAACCAATAATATAAATTTTTTATTGAACAAGTTTTATTTTTATTATATCAGATATATCAAAACAAATCATCTTGTTATAGCTCTTTTTAACCCTCACAGTTTAAATTAATTAAAAGAAAATTTAATTATGTACCTGTGCTAGAGAGGCTTTACCCATTTAAACCGGATAAACCCTTTCACTCCCGGGGCCCATCTATGGTAGTTTAAACTAACAACCCCATATTGTATAATACTTATAACAAGATTTTCATGTTGTATAATAGAAACACATCTGTAAATAATTATACGCATGATTGGCATGTGTCATTACATCACCATTTGTAATGTACTTTGTACAAACTGAGGATAAATAAATAAAACTCTGTAATAGATTAAGAGTTGAGCTAAAGCAGAGATCGAGGTTTAGCAGTCCCAAAACAATGTCCAAAGATAGATAGGAAACTGTCAGGACGGCGCCAGTGTACAATTTCGCCAGCCGATCCACGCTCTTGTCGCATCTGTTGAAATGCAATACTTCCTCTCTCTGCAAAGAAATATAAGGCCTCCGCCCTAGCCAAAAATATAGTCACTTCACCATCAGCGGAAGCCCTCGTCAGTTGTCACCAAGGTCCTCCTCATCCACCATGTAGACCAGTAAGAACTCTTTTATCTCCATCTTTCGCTCCTAGTTCAGCTTTTATCTGTTCACGGAACATTTCTAGTGCAACTGTGTCTTCGTTTTTTGTGTGGAAATTCCCAAGCTTTCCACTCTGCCTCGACCACGACTGCCTGTACTCTGTGAGAACTGTTAAAGGTCTCCCAAGGTGCAGAGAGGTATTGGAAAACTCTCCACGCCCTGACTGCCCCTCTCGGTTACTACAGGTTTGCCCCTTTCCGTTACCATACCACAGCGAGAGACCCTCGATTATCCCATATATATATGTTTGAAAATATATATTGATAAAAGTTGCTTTTACGGGTTAACGCACAATGTGCAATTTACTAGGGCCTGAAAGTAATAGTGATTTGCACACAAGAAAAGCATACACTCAAGAGTACAACAACAACAATAAAAGATAAATAAATAAAAACTCACAATTTGCTATATAAAAACAGAGCAATACTTATCTTTTAATGTAGAGTTGGTAGGGAGCGAACAGGGGTCACACAGGTATGCTAGGAGATCGCCAGACACGGATAAAACACCCAGAGAACACTTTAAGCGTCTCCACACGATAATCCACCATACTCCATCCACCACTCTTATATACAAACATGGCCACATTCGTCCAATGAGAAAGCGGTAGAGATTGGTTCACTAACAAACAAAAACAAAATTCTTCCCGCTAAAAACGGAGATAAAAGTGCAAATGTCTGTCAATATAAATTTGACAATATAACTTCGAATTCAATAGATCGTTCTATTCATAATGCTAATTATACTATTCGCATTATTTTTCCAAACGGAATTCCTACATAGTTCCATCCAAATTATATAGTCCCTCAATTTGTCACATCACACGGAAAATTCCAGAAATACTTACATAAAAGAGGTCTATTAAAACATCAAATTGTTCCTGTGGAAAAACTGAACAAACTGCTCTTCACCTCCTATGGCTGTCCAAACTTTGCAGAAGTGAGACATCGTTTGTTCCCTGATCTAAATCATTTAACTCTCTTACATCTGCCACTTTGTCTATATAAATTTTATGAACGCCTGGTTGATTAATGACATTAAAAAATGAAAAGAGATCATTCTATTAAATTATTGAACCAGTCCTTCCTAAGACTACTGTTGGGGCACGTTTTTTGTAACCATACCCCAACAGAAGGCGTATGTATAATCAAATCAAATGGATACATGGCTTCCCTCCCACATAGACTTACAGACCATCTTTTTGCCCAGAAACCTAGACAATTGATGACACCAGACTTCCATGCCGATGCCTGGTGAAGGAAACACCAGTGACATCCAGGGACATCCGCGCTGGAAGCTGCTGTTCCATATGTACATATATTCCCCTCACCAAAAATTTAGGTAAAGGTGACCAGAAAAAAAAATGGAGAAGGAAGATCTCTAAAGGACTGAACCTTATAAAATATCCTTCCCGAGAAAGGAAAGCGTTATATTACAGTTCAAGTGAAAAGGGGCCTGTGTCGATTTTTAGCTAAGACGGAGGGGGGCGATATATATATACCGTCCCGAGAAAAGGGGAGGATGGTATTTCAATCCATGTGGAAGGGGGGGCCTGGCGTCTGAAATTTTACATTATCGCCGTAGCTGTTTCTCTCTTTAGATTTTTTTGTTTTGGTAATACTATATGTTCTATTTCGATGGGAGAGGCCTGGGGCGTCTATGAAATTGATACTGGAGCCGTTGGCCATTTTGATTGGTGTTTCTTTCGGCGAATGAAAATGCCAGCCAATAGAAACTTTGGCTCGGCAGCGAATGGAAACGGGGAGAGACATGAATAAAAGAGGGTTTCTTGGCCAAAAGGCGGAGATTCGATCGGAGTCGCTCAGTGAGAAGGACGATTTTTAGTCGGGCCTGAGACGTAGAGGAGACCAGACCTTGCCGCCGCTTTCGAGAGAAGGTAAGCCCCTCGCCATTATGGTTTAGCCCCCCCCCCCCCCCCCCCTTTTATTTTTCGAACAGAAGCTAATCTATTTAGATTCTGAATGGGCCCTAAAGGGCTTTAAGTGACTTAAAAGGGAGTGTTAGGGTTCGTATATTTTGTCCCGCTAGAATAGATGGAGATCTAGGTTTCCCCCCCTTTTTTTTTTTTTTGTGTAGTAACCAACCTAGATTTCGCATGGGCCCTAAAGGGCTATAAAGTAACTTCAGGTCACCTCTATCTAAATTTTACTATGTAAATAGCATATCTCGTCAGTATAGACATGTTCCCAAATTTTAATTTATTTAAATAAATATCTAGAGAAATTTTCTTGTTTCCTCTCATACATATTTCATTCCTTTTGCTTTATGGTACTACCCCCACACCTTAAATGTTTGTACTTTTATGTGTTTCAGTGTGTTATTCCATCATATTTACCATTATACCATATTTAATGATTTCTTGGGCTATTATTACGCTGTTAGGAGGGTACGGCATGATGCAACAGATTTGTATGTTTGACTATTGTTTGTGTTATTTGGGCTATAAAAAAAGCCTTAATATAGGTTGTCTGATGAAATTGTATACTAGTGTCGTAGCTGTTTCCATCTTTAGACCTTTATTCTGACAATATTATATGCTCGATCCCTGCTTTAGCTCAACTCTTAATCAATTACAGAGTTCCCCCCCCTTTTTTTTTTTTATTCATCCTGTTTGCACAAATTGCATTACATGTGATGATGTAAAGACATATGTCGATAGTGCATCATTGACAGCTGTACTTCTATTATACAACATTAAGGTCTTGCTGCGGGTTATATACATGGGGTTGTTGACCTAAATTGCTATATATATATATACTTAAGTAAGGAAACTTTAATGGGTCAAATCGTGTATCCTCCCTTTTCATTTATCCAAAACCGGGAACGCAACACTACCTCTCACTTCATTCTTAAAGGTGGGCATAACAAGCAGAGAGAAAACTATACATATTTGAACATTCTTCAACCCGAAATAAAATAATTTCACACACATTTAAAACAAAC